GCCAATGATGGTCTTTTGTCAAGGCTGCCCCCTTCGCTCTCTCTCTCTCTCTCTCACTCCGTGCCACACTACTGGAACAGAATTATTTGATATCGATGGATTCACTGAGCCATCACCTGCAGTGAAGTACGACTCATCAAAAGGGTAGAGTATACGATGCTGGGAAGTCAACTATTGGCACTGGTACTTTTGCGTTTCATAGCGTGCAATAATCGTCATTGTCGTTATGGGACTGGGCAAACAATTGATATAACCTGTTACCTGCGAGCTTTTTGTTGCCATTTATGGGCCCATTTGTGCCACCGGTGACGAAAGCGACAGCATCTCAATCCGTTTTCACATCCGGACAGCTGTAGTGACTGATGTGGACCGTGAAATGAAAAAAAACTCAACGAAAGTTGGTGTTACCGTTCCAACAGAACCTGCACGTCAGGTGACGGAACTCGATCATAGAAACACAGTTGGTAGTGATTCAAGGACACAGTGAGAGGCTCAAAGAAAAGGTGATTTTTCATTAAACACGTTCGAACTTTTCCTAATTTTATCCAACGCATCCAACGTCCTTCTGAGTGTTCAAGGTCACAGTTGTAACCCCGTCACTTTAGTTCAAATTGTCTTGTCAATACACGATCACCGTAAGTCTAACACTGCTGTAATTGGAATATTCTTGTTTTGACGTCCTGTTAATTTCAAGCACGTGCTCTTCATTGTTCTCTAGTCCCGACAAACAAACTCAAGACCCTCCCTTTCTCGCGAAGCATCTTTTGAGGAGCAACAACTCCAGCGGGAACTGGATGCCTCTAGGGAAAGGGAAACGGACCTGTCAGAACAACTGCGTTTCGCAGAGGAAGAAGTCAGAAAAATGAAACGGCGTGTTAAAGAATCACAAGTTGAGAATGAATTGCTTTCGAAGAAGCTGGAGCGACTTTACACTACTCAGGTGGGACATTCGATAGTTTACGCGAGGTCTTTATGAGTTCCTTGTGTGTATTTTGTTACGAACACAGGTTAGTTAATTTAATGTGGTTTTTACACCTCCCTACCTGAATCATAGCCAAAGGATCCCTTCCAGTTCGGTCAGACGGTTCGTTCAGCCTCTGCTGGAGCTCAGCCACGAACCCCCAGCGAATCATCTCAGACACCTGACAATACCGCTGGAGATGGTTCAGTTGGAAACGGGATGAAATCATCACCAGGCCAAATGGAAACAGAGTTAACGGCTACCCGGCGACAGTTGAACTTGGTTGAAGAAGAAAACCTGGGATTACGGCGCAAAATTCTCGCTTATGAACGCGACCTAACAGCAGCCCAGGGGAGGTTACAGCGCACAGGACCTAGCCGTATTACTGGGTCCCCACAGTTAGGTGAGTTCTAGGCTTCTCTACCTTGTTCAATAATTCCAGAATGTGGGTTATCACCTTGTGGCCCTTAATTTGTAATTTGAGCTTGAGTGAGCAGCTTTACTTGCTAAATAGACACGAATCCCATCAAAAAACAAAAGCGACAATTGTCATTCATTTGGGACTAGAAGACTTGAGGTCAATTGGTCACAGTGAATAAAATTCTTTTCCACCATGAGTTTATGGTCAATGAAGAGCCACTATCGGCTGACCAGATTAGGTGTTGTTCGAGTGCTCCTTAATCGTCAATTCTTTTGTCATCATTAGGCCCTACCCCTCAAAGGACAACTGACAGTTTTCCAACCACGTGGGCCACAAACCACTAATGCCACTAATGTCTGACGGTGGCGACAGTTCTCTAGGACGGCTTTCCATCAGATCATCAACAGGCTGTCAGCCTGTTTGTTCGAAGCGAATGGTATCGACAAACAATGTGCTTAGATAAAAAAGTGTATAATGGATGGGTTTTACGTCTTCGTAAGTTGGACCAGGTTACTTTTTCACCTGAATTTGACCACATAAATAGGGGGGCACGGTAATTTGACCATACCAAGTTCAGTCAGACTGCGAAATGCAGGTATCAGACCACACTGCCAAACATCCAGCACCCTGGATAGTCTACATATTACTCAGTCTGAGCATAGCCCTACTCATAATTTCTAGTGTATTGTTTGGTTCCGTATTGTATCTATCTCACCTGCCAAGACAGACGAAGGAGATAGACGGACAGAACGTCTTTACCTCGTCGGTAATTGCTCTGGACACTCTTCAACGACGAACCCGAACACGGCGTGATGTTCAGGTGGAAGACACCTGTTGCGGAAACGGGTCTTGTGTCCACCTACGCAATCGACTTTATAGATTTGAACTGGAATTCTATATGTTCAAGAGACAGGCAGGAAGTAAGTGTGTGTGCTTCTGTCGTGCCTGGGTTGTTAATCGATTGCTAGTAGTTTAAGGAGATTTTGGAATTTCCAATAAATGATTCGTCCTATAATGACGGCAATCTATGCTGAAAAGCCAGGAAGCTCGGTACAGTTGTTTCATCTTTATTGGGTATCATCAATCGTGCGCCTCTCAGGCAAATCCAAGCAGTTTCAAACCTACGATCTCTCCTCTGGCATTTGAGCAGATGTAATTCGGTCATGGGCGGTTCACCAGCTGTGTGGTTAACTCACACTTGAACAGGACATCGCGTCACTCCCGCTTTAGTAACAGAGGTCACATCTCGTGATCACGTGTTAGCTGGCTCCTCAAGTGCGAATCCTCAGACGGAAGGTGGGCTCGTCAAGTGAACCCTTTTTCCTTTCGGCCCACTTACATTTTGCCGGTGGAGAGAAGAGGTTTGGGGATTTTCCGTGATGAAAGCAGCTTGTGCTAAAAACCAATATTCGGAGTAATCAGCGTGTGCATCCCACGCAGAGGAGCGAGAAGAGTCAGTTGTTATAGCGCACATTTACTAACTGGAATGTACATGGATCCAACCCAACCTCTGAATCTCGACTTTCCTTGTCCAGGCTTGGACAACCTGGCAGTATCCCAGACCTCGTGCTTCCTTCGGGTGGCATGGCAGTTAAGACAGCGAAATGGTGTTACGTCTGAACGATTTTTTTCACAAGGCTCGGTATGCATTCAGGATTCCTTTGTAAAGTGCAGCTTGCCGTAACCGCATTTGTTGTTTACTCATCGACAACTTACACTGATTGTTAGGCTGATACGCTCAACCTCTTCCAATAGTTCCACGGACTCGTGTGTAATATCCCACCCAACGGGCTCCACAAGCAACATCAACCAATGTGACCAAACCCTCCGCACAGATGGTTGTGGCCGATTTGGTGCTACGGCTGAACGATTTTTTTCACAAGGCTCGGTATACATTGAGGACTCCTTTGTAAAGTTCGACTTGCATTAACCGCATTTGTTGCCTACCCATCGACAAATTACGCTGATTGTTGGACTGATACGCTCAACCTCTCCCAATAATTCCACGGACTCGTGTGTAATATCCCACCCAACGGGCTCCACAAGCAACATCAACCAATGTGACCAAACCCTCCGCACAGATGGTTGTGGCCGATTCGATACCGGTTTTAATTCGCCGATCGGGTAGTGTGGTTGAGTGGTCGGAAAAGTATAACAAGAGTTACTTTATTGAATACTTCATTTTCGCCTTGAAAATTTACAGATTCACAGGAACTAGACAGTTTGCGGAATCAACTTAACTTGATTCAAGATCATCTCGCACGTATGGAACACGAAAGAGATCGGCTAGAAAGCGAAAACCAAAGGCTCAGATGCACAGAAGGAGACAGCCGACGTTCTACTGTGGACAGCAGTGCTGGAATGGAAGCTTTGGTACGAGAGAATGAAGCGATTAAGAGCAAGCTGAAGGAAGGAGACAGGCGACTACGTCACCTTGCACGTGAAGTTGCTCTCATTGGATCAATCGAACGGGACCATGAGTGGATAGAAAAATACAATGATGCGAGAGAAACCATAAAAGAACAGGAAATACAGGTTGGTTTTTCCAAATTTCAGGTTGTTCTCATAATCCAGTTACAAACAGAATCCTAAATTGGTGCATTTTCGTGCTACCTATAGCTTTCTCGATCGAAGAAACGTGTGGCCGAATTGCAAGATGAAAACGCACGTTTACGCGCCGATGAACGAAAAGTAGAACAACGCTCACGGAGGGCGCAAGAGAAGGGTAGTTCCACTCCACACATGAGTCGAGAAGCACTGGCTCACGAGATCAAATCTTTAGAAGAAGAGCTGGGTATGTTGTAGCTCGGTCGAGGCAAGCTAAACACTAGTTTTTCTTACATATCAGCTGCTGCTCTCCAGCTTACGTACGGGTGGTTTTCGACCTCGGTCATTTCTTCTCACAGTTTTGCAGCTTATATTTTTGCGGAAACGCAAACTGCCTTCTCAAGACATCACGTGTAAACCGTCCTAGTTTCGCTCATTAGAATCGCAAAGTGGAACTACATGTATATATATAATAATGGCTACTGAATGTAAATATTCTGTTACTCTTTGGCATACCTTCACTGGAGAGAAGTATGCCATACGCACATGAAGAAACCATCAGTTGGAGACTTGTACCTTGTTCTATCTATCTCGTTAGATGAAAAAACCTGCCCCGTCTGTATCCGAAGAAGTAAAGCGAACAACAACCGCTACGGAATAGCGATCGGTTCATTTAATATACAACCCGTGGTTCTAGAAGGGTACCCAAAATAGCGTCAGTTTAACATCGACCTCATTCTGAAGAAAAGGATTAAACTGGATGGCAAAGCGACCGAGTACTAGCCTACCACAATCATTCCAAGTTGCCTACGCCTCGAGACATCATCCAGAAAACCTGGATGAAAAACGATAAAAACAACACCGTTGACTAAATGTTACATCGGATCCTGTTTTGAAAAGGTTCACTGGTACTTAGGTACATGTAAAATAGCAGAATGTCTCCTTCGTGTACCTGCCGAGAGCCCACAGTAATCACCTGGTTTGTATACATAAGTTCTTTTGATTACAAACCTCTCTACATGGTCTTTATCACAACGGTAATCTAGTACTCTCTCATCTTCTCGTTTCTGCAAACGTCCCTGTGACCGAATGGCATTCTATTCAGACGAGGTGACAGCCGACTTGACTGCCGCCCGAGAACAGGCCTGCACGGCCCAACTACGCGTGACCTACCTCGAAGACAATAATAATGAACTACGTGCCGAGGCAGAACGACGAGAACGTGAACTGGTTTCCTACATCTTCCACTTGGAGAACAAGAATCAAGTCCTGACAAACCTGTTGAACATTCTCCAAGATCGATCCGATGGGCTACAAAATGAATTGGATCGGTAAGTCCTGAACATCTTGATCTCGATCAGAGTGAGTTCCTACTGAATGCTTGTCGGCACAGCCGTCGAGCGGAGACACTGTGTACGGTGACGATAATCGCCCAGCAGACACATTGCTCACCCGTGATTTTCGCCTGTTCAGACGTGAAAATTCAGTGCTCTGGTGAAGTGCGCGGAGTTTCTACTCCACTAGGGCCAAGGATGTGCATCGCTACTAAGCTCTAGTAAGGGCAGAAATGGAGTACAGTGTTCCTCCCCTTTGGTGTGAACTCACCAGAATGATTGTCCCAAGACAGGTGGACAAGTGTTCCAACAGCATTGACATGAACGTGAATTGTACCAGTCCCGAAACCGGTGTCGGGTCTGGCACACAATTCATAAACGGGATAGAAACACTGTCCATGTGTGAGTCAATCACACTACTGGTCTACTACTGGTCACTTACTGATATAGTAAGTGCACTGTTAGTAACCGAGTTGGAATCTCCCTTTAGGTTCGCGTAGTACACACTGTTGACGGGTGGCAACAGTGATAGCGATGCTTTTAGGCACAGGTTACCCTCAAAGTGGGAAATACACTGTCGGCAAAAGTCGTTTCTGAACTCAATCATGGTGGTTAATTTACATTTCACAATCAGCCTGTTGCACATTCCATCTTCGAAAGCTGAAAGAGGTCTGCAGTGTGCGAAGGCATTGAAGCTTTCCTTTAAAACGTTGATTCAGTGAAAAGTTATATCTAGGTGTGGCAAGTTATGAACGCGAGATGTTCTCCGTGTTTTCTCTGGATGTCAAAAAAGAGGAGAACCGACTTTGTATGGGACCCGATGGGGTTGAAGCTACATAGGAGGAGGTGATGCCCTGTTGAGGATATAAATCCTTCATCCAAAGGCTGCCTTCTAGTATAAATCAGATATTTCAAAGAGTTGGACACAGACATGGTCAAACACGAATCACAAACTAAGCAACCAGTACAGCGAATTAAGGGAAAACTTGTATATCTTTGTAATGTACTGCTCAAAATGTTGCTGAAAATCCGTGGACAGCCCACGACCGGTTTTGCCTTTCTTGGGGCTCATCAGGTAGGCGCGGTCCCCGGGTTTCCGTCAACCTTATATTCTACTTGAAACCAAATTGCACGAAATTAGCGAATATACACTCAT